ATAGATAGATAGATAGATAGATAGATAGATAGATAGATAGATAGATACATAGATAGATACATAGATACATAGATAGGTACATAGATAGGTACATAGATAGATACATAGATAGACAGACAGGCAGACAAATAGATGATAGATGATAGATAGATTATGTATAGATTATGGATAGAAAAATAGATGGTATATAGATACACATAGATGGTATATTTATATGTAGATATAGATATATGATTGATGAATTATTTTTTTTAACAGTGATGGTGGTCGCTGTGATTTGGAGGTAGGGAAGTATTGATTATCGTTCTAGATGGTCAAGGTCGTGTGTACTTTCATTTGGAAGGCTGACATTGCATGATTTCCACAACAAAACACTTGTCGTTGATGGTGGTTTCTTTACTACAAGTCTGACTTTAGATCATAATGTCCCTGTGGGGAATGGATTAAGAGATAAACACTGGTTAGTCGTTCAAAGTGTCTATTTTCATGACTAATATTCTAATACCTCCTTGTCACTAAGTCACTTTATTCATGTCTGTGTATACAGGCTAGTTTAAGTGTTTGTACCTTAAAAAAAAATTCTTGAGGCTTAGCCACTTAAATAAAGGATGATGGTCGGATATATGTGTTTGTTTACTTTCCCACACAAATCTCACAGTGAGGCAATAAACCAGTTCAGGAAGAAGGCACTGAATACATTCAGTTCACTCAAAGCTAGTTTAATTTCCTCTTGCTACTAATATAGAGGCCATTATGTGTCTACTTGGCAATTATACTACAGCTGCCCAAGAGTCATTATTTATTTATAAGCTCTGCCTTCTTAGTTTAAGGGATCAGAAGTTAAAATTACATTTCACTATGTGTCCTGTGGTGTCCTGTCTGTCCTGTGGGTGGACGAACTGTGAGAAGGACGAAAGATATATTGTGATGATATGTGGTTGTTAAATAAAAACCAGATTAAGAAGGAAACAAAGAGAAAATGAAACTTAAATATAGCACTGGTCATAGCAGGAAAGAAGCCAGATATTTGGAAGCAGACCTACAGAAAGAGGTGAATGATGTCCTCATGTCTATACTGAGAGACATGAAAAGAAGCCCTTAGTAATGATGGTCTATGCAGCCCCATAGACAGAATTCTTACTATGACAAAGATGTCACCTCTCTATAATTTGATACATGATTTCTTAAAACATCTAATCAAAACTTATGTGAGTATACTGTGGACAAGCTAGACTTTAGAAATTTTATGGACACAGAAATGGCCCAAAATAACCAGAGCCATTTTAAAGAAGAATAAAAGCACAGGGTTTATGTTCTCAACTGTCAGAATTTTTTCAAGGCTGCTAAGTAACAAGAGTAGACAAGGGTCAAGGCCATAGAATCAGGTGTTCCTGAATAGATTCATGTCATACAAACATGGCTCCATGACAAAGAAGAGCTACAGTGGACATGTTTTTGATCATTATCCATATTGACTATCAGTGTGACAGTGTGAAATTAGCACCTGCTTTATACAATAAATTTATACCAGTGAATACAAATGGCAAAGATAAAAACCACTAAATACATGTATGTATGTATGTATGTATGTATGTATGTATGTATGTATGCATGTATTTAAGATAGAGTCTTGCATAGCTCAGGCTAGCTTTTAATTTGCTACATTGTTGAGGATGACAAAAAAGTTCTGAATTTTCTGTCTCAAATTCTCAAGTCCTAAGGTGATAGGCAATACAATTACACCTTTTTTAGGTGCTGTTTTGTTTTGTTTCTCTCTCTCTCTCTCTCTCTCTCTCTCTCTCTCTCTCTCTCTCTCTCTCTCTCTCTGTGTGTGTGTGTGTGTGTGTGTGTGTGTGTGTGTTAATGAATGATGTGGAAAGCTTCATACTAAAGCTGTTACCAGATAAGGTGGGTAATACAATCTATAGCTTGGGGAAAAGAGAAATGATTTAAGGAATAGACATGAAAACAAACTTGAGAAGAAGCAAGCTAAGGCCTCTGAGTTCCATCTTAGCAGACAGTTATCTACAACAGTTACTCTGTCATTAATATAATGTGAATGTCTATCCATCTTTCAGAAAGCACCAGATCTTTAGTCCCTGAGGCCACCCAGTGGGCACCAGGGATCTGAGGCCTTCAGGAGCAGTTCTGTCCTCCCAGCCCTGCCCCTATGGGCTTATTTTTTCCCTTTTAGAAGATGCAGCAGGGGAGCAGGTATTTGTCCTCAGGACTCTAAAGGAAACACAGATATTCACCATAGACTTTTTAATTTTATGAAAGTGGTGTGTTTCTTCCTCCTTCCAACAAGTCCTCCCACATGATGCCAGCTTGTGAGATAAGACAGCCAATAGGAGGGAATATTTGATCCCTCATCACAAGAATTTTCTGAAATGCCCCACTGCCTGATGCACAGTATATGTTCAGTATATGCTCTCTGTACCATTCCAACCACTTTGGTCAGGGTAAAGGGGGTCTTTAGTCCTCCAAGTGCTTACATTTATGAGCTATAACACAAGGTGTTTAAAGGTGATTGCTGCCTACCTAGAGCCAAACCAGTCAGATATTTTAAGAAAGAAAGAAGGAGGAAGAGGAGGAGGAGGAGGAAGAGGAGGAGGTGGTGGTGTTACTAAAGCAGTGCCTCACACTGTTCCCTCACTAACTCTCTGGCTGTTTCAACAGGAAAGGTTACTCTGTGTGTGTGTGTGTGTGTGTGTGTGTGTGTGTGTGTGCACGTGCGCATGTCTGCATTTGTGTTTGTGTGTTATTTGTAGAGAACAATTAAGAAAAGAATCATAAATAATAAAATCACAACACTCAGGCACCTGATAGCATAACTTTGTAAGTACTAGTCCACATATTTTGCTTTGAAACTGATTTTTAGATTATTTTGTTAAACTGATTTTTTAAGAATAAATCTGTTCCTCATTGAACTCACATCACCACAACAGAAGTCTAAATTGGGGCAATTCCTGGAGAGACAGACAATCAGCTGTGGATGTCACTGAGTGCTTAATAGCACAGATTCTGAAGTGACAGGATAAGAGTCAACCAAGAAAGCAGCAGTTGTTTCTGTTTTGTGTGTTTGTGTGTACATGTGTCTGTGTGCACATCTGTGTACACATGTGTCTGTGTTCACATGTGTTTTTGCACACACATTTGTGTCTGTGTGTACATGTATATATGTGCACACGTGTCTGTGTGTACATGTGTCTGTTTATGTCTGCGTGTACATGTGTCTGTGTGCACATGTGTCTGTTCACATATGTCTGTGTGTACACATTTGTGTCTGTGTGTGCATGTTTCTGTGTTCACATGTGTCTGTGTGTACATGTGTCTGTGTGAACATGTGTCTGTTCACATATGTCTGTGTATACACATTTGTGTCTGTGTGTGCATGTTTCTGTGTTCACATGTGTCTGTGTGTACATGTGTCTGTGTGAACATGTGTCTGTTCACATATGTCTGTGTATACACATTTGTGTCTGTGTGTGCATGTGTCTGTGTTCACATGTGTCTGTGCACATGTGTCTGTGTGCACATGTTTGTGCTTGTGTGTATACTGTAAGACTCTTGCAGCTATCATCCCTCAGTTGCTGCCCTTCAATGGTCTTTACAGACAGGATCTCTCACTGGCCTAAAACCCAACAAATTTGCTAAATCATTAAATCAATGTTAAGTTAGCCCCCTCCCCATAACCTGGGGATCCCCCTATCTCTGCCTTTCTAGCACTGATTATAGGTACCGCCGTCATGCTTGGTCTCTCTTAGCGTGTTATCTAACTCAGGTCCCCATGCTAAAAGTCAAGCACTTGACTGATAATGCTGTCCTCCCAGACCATTTTTGTTTTGAGGTGTAGACCATACCAAATAAGACTGAGGGGAAAGCCCTTGGCTGGCTTGACGTGTATTTCATTGTGCTTAATTAAAATTGTATAATTGAAGATAACTTTTAAATCCAAATGCCTGTCCAAAAGTTACATTTGGTGAAACCAGGTTAGTTCTCTAGGTGAACTGTTAATGTGTCCATTGCAAATTAACACATATCGACAGACCTCATCCTCAGAGCACTGTGCCAACTGAAATTCAAGCAGGTAGGAACCCCATCATACCTGACAGACCTACCGATGTCGGATCGAATGTGTTTGGTCAGCATACCGTCATATGTGTATGTCAGTTGGTGGTGATAGTGTCCTGTAGTTCAGCTCAGCAACGTGGCTATATGAAAATGAAATTGGCTTCTATAAGTATCTACGGGTGAGTTGAGTTTGAGGGTGACTGTTGGCATTCAAAGGTGTGCTTGTATCTTCATTTATATCCTGTTGACTCTCTTTTCGCTCCATTCCACTAGGGCCTGAGTCACCTGCACCAGCACAAAGTGATTCATCGAGATATTAAAGGGCAAAACGTTTTGCTGACTGAAAATGCAGAAGTTAAGCTAGGTATGAAAAGCGTCCTGAGCCACAGCACTGCTGGAGCTGATAGGTGTCACCCGTCCTTTACATCAGCCTGTCACTGTGGACGGGGCGGGGGTCAACAGTCTTTTACGTAAACCTGTCACCATGGACAGGGTGGGGCATTTCAGAGATGAAAGGAAATTTTATGTTTGGCCATTTAAAAAGTATTTTCCCAAACCATCCTGAAGGATGACTTGTGTGGTGACTAGAAGCCTACATTTAAGCACTGTGTAGAATTTTATTCTCTGTAATGACTAGAAGTGACAGGTCTGGGCATCATCCCATACACTTCAGAGATGGTTTCCATCACTGCTGAGATGATGGAGTACTGATGGCCCTAGGAGACTGGGTTTGGGTTTGTTTCATGAAAAATATTCATATTTAAAAGTATTTTTGAATAATCCAATTCCACTAATTTCTTATAGGCTTCAGCTGTACTTAAATTTGCTTTATTATTTCCTACAGCTCCTGTATAAAGGGGATTCTTCAGAGTCCATTTTGGGTGCATCCTGATCACCCCACTTCACCCTGCCAAAGTTGATGGGGGAGCAATCCTTCTTTTTAGCAAATACATCAGAGCCTGTCCTAATTGCCTCTGTTGCTGTGTCCTGACCAAAACAAGCAAACAAACAAAAATCTTAGAGGAGGAAGTGTCTGTTTTAGCTCACATTTCCAGATTTCAGTCTATCAGTGGGGAAATTCCAGGGAGCTGAAACCTGATGCAGCTAGACACATTCACAGCCAGGAACAGGGAGAGTGAATGTTCATATACTCTCATCCTCCACTTTGAGACAGCTCAGGACCCAAATCCAGAGAATGGAGCATTTATAGTGGGCTAGGTCTTCCCACAGGCAAAATCTATCCAGACAAACCCTCAAGGAGACTCTCTTCCCAAGGGGATTCTAGACTGATCCAGACTGAGAGTTATAACTATTCTAGAGCCCTTTCACAGAAAATCCAAGAATGTTCTCATTTTATCATCTAGAAGGGATTTTCTGTCCATGGAACTGTTCATTTTCAAGGAGATTTGAAATCTTGCCCTTCCCTTTTGATAAGATACATAATTTTCTATTGTATTAGCATTTGGAGCCAAACATTCATTGTATGAACATTTGCTTTTAAAAGGAAGAACATACATTGTACACCTAAATAGATGCATGTACAGAGACCGGATGGTCCAGCCGAGAGGACTTCTTGGTGCTGTTTAACAAGCTCTCACTGGGAGTATAATGTATGCCACATCTCTCAAGAGACACTTTGATTAGCTCATGTGAACAGGCTTATTCTATGTTGCCATCTTCTTATTGTAGATTTTAAAAACCACACACATGGTGGTTTGATTAATAGCTATATTGCTTTCCAGTTGCAGAACGGTATGTGAAGACATTGGCAATCTGACACAAATCCTTAGGTATCAATTGCCATTTGTGTTACCATTTGTGGCCATGAAGGCTTTCTTTTACAGAACCCCTACTTGTTTTGGTCTCAGGGAGGCTTGGCATAATCAAATACCACAATTTGTGATTTCCTCACTAGCATATGTATCTACTTAATAATGCAACTTAAAAGTAGGTATTCATGGTATAGAAATGGTAGAAGAGACCAGAGGCCCATCACCAGAGGAAAAGATTAACAAGGTGTAGAAATCGAAAGTTAGTGGAAAACTATTCAGCATTAAAAAGGAAAAAAAAAACTGTAACATACATTACAGCCTGAGTGAACTTTGAGAGCCTTATATTATGTGAAATAAGATGCATGCTGTGTGATTCTGCTCGTTTACAGGAGAGGGCAGTGAGTGTCCTAGGGATGAGAGCAGGAGGATGATTGGGTTAAAGTATGGACATAGGTTGTTATTGCTCAGTGGTATAGACTCTCAATGGCAGAAGATGAAAATGTTCTGGGGATGGATGGAGGTGAGGAGGGTGCCATCTTAAGGCCCAGAAAATGTGCATAAAATGTGGCTAAAATCTATCCTAATGAAGTTTTCCTTGTTGTAATAAAACACCAAGACCAAAAGAAATGGGTTAAGAAAAGGGTTTATTACAGCTCACAACTCTCAGATCACACTCAATTACTGATGGAAGTCGGCACAGGAGCTCAAGGCAGGAACCTGGAGGCAGGAGCTAAAGCAGAGGACATGGAGGATGCTACTTACTGGCTTGCTCTGTGCTACTTGCCTAGTTTGCTTTTTTACCTCTCCATGATCGCCTGTCCAGAGATGGTTCCATCCACAATGGCTAGGCCCCTCCACAACCACATATCAAGAAAATTCCCTACAGACTTGCCTACAGGCAACATGATGGAGACGTTTATCTCTATTGAGTTTCTTCTCTATATAGTATGGAAAGCTGGCAGAATAAATCGGATGAAATCATGACATTTATGTTATATATATACTTTACCACGTGAGGGATACACATTTACTTTACCTTCACATCCAACATGGGGTTCTAATTTATTCAACTGTCTTCTCATTAGTGGATTTTGGAGTGAGTGCCCAGCTCGACCGAACAGTGGGCAGGAGGAACACATTCATCGGGACCCCCTACTGGATGGCACCAGAAGTTATTGCCTGTGACGAGAACCCAGATGCCACGTATGACTTCAAGGTATGAGTTGGTTGTGCTGTGAAGCCATGTCCGGCTCCTTGTCCTCAATTTTTCAGGAGATGATCCTCGCAGGCATCTGTGATGTGACTTAAGTGACACACAAAGAGACCTGAAAAATAGTATCTAAATCTAAGACTGGAAGGTACTCATGTAACAACTTTTTCAATGAATTTACCCATCATATTTGTTCTCCTATTTACAAAATGATATTGAAATTATTTTCTATGCTTTTGAATTTATTCTTCTTACTCTTGAGAAATAGAGCAGGTTTATGTTGTTGGTTATAGTTTAATTTTAGCAACATTTATAGTCTTATTTTTATTCTTTTCATCTAATAAGTCTTTTGATTCATTTTTAATTTAAAAATATTCCAACTACAGGGGCTGGACCTAGCCCCCCCCACACACACATTTGTAGCAGATGTGCAGCTTGGTCTTCATGTGAGTCCCCTAACAATTGGAGTAAGGGCTGTCTCTGACTCTGTTGCCCGCCATTGGATCCCCTTCCCCTAACTGGACTACCTGGTTGAGTCTTAGTGGAAGAGGATGTGCTTAGTCCTGCTGGGACTCGATGTCCCGGGGTGAGGTGGTACCCAAGGGGGGACTTCCCCTCCTCAGAGAAGGGGAAGGGTAATGGGGAGAGGGATTTGTAAGAGCAGGACTGGCAGGAGAGGAAGGAGTAGGGAGTTGTAATTGGTATGTAAAATGAATAAAAAATAAATCTTCAAAAGAAAAAATATTCCAACCGTTCATATTAAAGGAGATTCAGATAGTACTTTTATATATGCACAATATTTAAATCAGGATAAATGTATTCATCTGTTTCAACATCATCTTTTAAGGTGAAATTTTCAGAGGGCCTGAAGAGATAGCTCAGCTGGTAAAGTGCCTGCTTCTGAAGCAGAAGGCCTCCAGAAGCCACACAAAAGGTGGCCACAGTGGTGCAGGCTTGTAGTCCCAGCTTCAAGGAGGAGCCTGGGCCTTTCTAGACAGCTAGCCTAGCAATTTCCAACCAATGACTGACCCTGTCTCAAAATTCAAGGCTCTTGAGAAATAATAGCCAAGACTGATATCTGTCCTCCACATGCAGGTACAGACATGCATACACCTGTACACACATGTTCAGTCACAAAAGTTTGGGATTCATGCTGTCTAGCTTTCTCAGATGGGCTGCACACTATTGTAATTATCCATGGCTACTGTGTAATAGCACCAAGGAACTCCTTGCTTCTATCAAACAAGAACACAGCACACACTGATCAACTTATGTATTCCACTCCCAAGCTAATATTCTCAAGGCTACTTATACCAAACCAAAATATGAATATTGGGGGCATCTTTTTGTAGTTAGATGGCAGCAGGCTCCTCATTTCTGTGGGGCTCATAGTAGATACTTTGAAGTTTCTTCTCTGTCTGAGGGATGAAGTGGGATGTAGGTTTTTGCCTTGGCTTTCCTCTAGGGTGACTTGGCATCTCACAGAATTCCGATGGATTCCTTGTCCCATTCAGTAAGCTTCTCCCAGCCACCCTCCTTCATTCATTCCAACACAGTAACACGAGTCAAGAGCTGCAGCATCTGGTGACATTGCTTCTGCATAAATTCCTGTTATGAGAAAATAAAACTGTGGACAGAGAGAGCTAGAGAAAACTGCAGAGTTCTCAGGGTAGGCACTAGGCAGAGAGATACCCTGTGGGCAAAATGCAATATTACCTGGGTTTGCTTTGTTAGTTCAAGGACTTTCGCTCAAAATCGTACAATGGGGGAAACTGAGGCCAAGTCTTCACAGGTGCATACCCACTTGGTGATATTCTCTGAACTTCAACTTGAACATGGGTCTCCCAACTCTGCTTAGATCACCATAGTCACTTGTAACCCCTGCAAAGGAGGATGTAGTGTGGATTTGTGCACCCTGTATTATAGAGATTGGTTATTTTTTGATTTGTCTGATTTGCCTTTTAAGATGACTATGTTAAAAAAAATTAAGGTAAGTCAGCATCATGAGGATCTCTCTAAGAAAAGAATCTGTGGGGTTCTTCTTTACTTCACCTTGGTCTTGTATGGTATTTGCCTGGCTTCTATATAAATCTTATGTTTCTCATCCAAATAGAACATTTGAGGAATTCCTCTTTTAAAGTTCACTTACTTCTCCCCACTTGGTTACTGTTGAAATCAGGGAAGAGCCATGCAAACACTGCAGTCTTTGAGACCCAGTGTCTCAGGGCATTGATGAAATCATCTACCTCTTTAGAGAAATGTAAGCTTGACGGTCTTGAAAACATAATAATCACCCTTCTTCCCTCAAAGTTAGTCCCTCTAATGACCTGACGGCAATCTGTCTGAGAGCAGCTGCCTCATTAAAAATTAATCCCCTGCCAAAATAAATGTCATTTATTTAAACTGCTAATGATCAGCACATTTGAATAATTCCATTTGCAAATCCGCGAGAGGATGCACTACAAAATATATATCCCAGACGAGATATGCATATTTTAACTGGCTGTAAGCAACTCTTCAAACTGTGGTCGTATTTAACACTTGTTAACTAGTTTACATCTGTGCAATAGATAATTTGAACCACTTCAAAATACACCAGGAGGGAGCTGGAGGGATGGTTGAGAGGTTAAGAGCACTTGTTGCTCTTGGAAGACCCAGGGTTCACATTCGCCACATGGTGGATCTCAACGTGGATCTCAATCATCTTTAACACCATTTCAGAGGACCCAATATTCTCTTCTGACCTCCAAGGGCACCAGGCACACACATCGTGCACAGAAACAACATGCAGAATAAATGAATAAATGAATAAATGAATAAATAAATAAATAAATAAATAAATAAATAAATCTAAATTTTAAAATAACGCAAACTATACCAGGAAGAACAAGAGTGTCTAAATTTTCAACCGACTAAATCTTTTAAGTATCATGGTGGGCTGTATTTATGTGCAGTGTATTTGTTCTAAAGCATAGACAAGACCTCTATGGCTGATTTGCTTTTAGGAAAGTAACTAGAATAGCTTTTCTTTTTGGCCAATCCAAAGCTTGGAGTTCAAATCTTGGACTTCTTTTCTCAGACTACTGCTAAGAAATGTTGTTTGGAGATGATGTGATACTAATACGTAATAATATTTTTTAAATAGAATTTTTTAAAAGGATCCTCACAGAGAAAACAGATTCAACAATGTCAGTTATTTAGACTGTAGTATGAACTTCTTTATAAAGATAGCTATGCACGTAAGTTGTTCACAAGGAAGAAAACTCCATGCCTAGGCTGTGAATTTTACTGTTCATCTGTCAAGAAGAAAAGCAGCTTGTCTGGAGAGTGGATGAAAAATATGAAGCAGAAAGGAATACTGGGAAATCATAGAGGATTTATTTTGACCACTTCATAATTTTACTCAAAATTAGAGAAGATAGAGAACTTTATAACCTCTCCATTACTGTATCTTACCTTGTGCCCAGGAGTGTAGTCCATCACCAGGGGGAGTACTTGACACCAAGTTGACTTTGGAACAATCCAATCAATCACTCTGTGTGTGTACTTCTTGAACCCCTTCCCCCTCTCCCTCTCCTTCTGCCTCTCCCTCTCCCTCTCTCTCTCCCCCTCCCCTCCCTTCCCCCTCCCCCTCCCCTTCCCCCTCCCACCCCCCCCCCCTCCTCGTGTGTGTGTGTGTGTGTGTGTGTGTGTGTGTGTGTGTGTGTCGATAGCTGAGCTCTCTCTGTATAAACCATGTTCTAGTGGAGCATTCACCAGACACCTGTAAGGCTCCAGGATTTGGTCCATGGGGGTGGGAGGATAGTCCATTTGAGCCACAGGAGTCCCAGCCTCAGCAATGACCTCAACATGTTGAACTCTCACATAGAATAAATGTATGCTTCCAGAATTTTCAGGTGGTGTTGATTGAATAATCAATACTTTGAACACCACTGGATTCTGTAAGCTTCACCATGAAAATGCTGGCTTTAAAATGAAGGTGAAATGCTGAAGACCATAGTTTGGCTTTGTTATATGATTTATCATTTATTATTATTGACTGACTATCATTTGGTTTATTTTTGAGATGCTTTTAAAGACCGGTAGAAGTTCCTATATTTCCAAATTCTCTTTTTAAAGATTATGGCTCTGTGTGTGTGTGTGTGTGTGTGTGTGTGTGTGTGTGTGCTTACAGATGCTTTTGGAGGCCACAGGAGGGTATCAGATCTTTCTGAGCTAGAATTGCAGGTGGTTGTGATGGGGGTGCTCAGAGCTGAACTTAGGTCTTCTATAGAGCAGTGCCTACCCGTAATGACGAATCCATCAGTCATTCAGTTCAGAAGTTTCTTTTGAAAGTCAAAGTAACTGAATATTCTAAGGATGTCTATGGAAAGGAGTTTGAAGAGATGGAGTTTTCATTGTAGTCCAGTTTCATGTGGAATCTGCTGGGTGCTGGGAAAAATTCATTGAATGCTTAGGAGAAGAGCCTGCATTGCATTTGCCTGGTGTGCTGGCTTCCCCTGGGGGCCCTTCCTTTCTCATTTTTCAGAAATTCTGTCAAAACACTTCAAGCAAAAGGAAAGGTTTCATTTCCCTGATAAGTATGCAGGGCAATAATGAAAGCTTTCCCATTTAATAATAAGCATTCGAGATTTGAAATTAATAAAACTGTTCAAAATTCCTAGGCTGTTTAAACTGGTATTTTAAAAACTTACTGTGAATTGTATTTTAGTAGGATGGAATCTGACAGGTAGTTTATAGTCCTAAGTAATCACCTCGACAGATACCCACTAAAGAAAGTTCTCTGTGGCTAAGCCCACATCCATTGGAATTGGTTGAATAAAAACTGAATTCTCTATCCAGTGGAATATTGTGCACCACTTGAGTAATGAGACATTAGAGTAGCATGTATGTTTGGTACCCAAACGTAAGTATCAAAGCATCTTCCTTTTAATATAGTTTTATTCCCACTGAACTGATATAGAAACACACACACACACACACACACACACACACACACACACATA